ACATCCAGCAGAAGTTTATGCTTGAGTCTTAGAACACAACATATGGCTTCCCAGTCATTGCCAGATTCTGCAAACCGCAGAGAGAGAGAAGTGTTCGGCCTCCACCACGGCCCCGCCAGCTTTGGGACCATTTGCCGCAGGGTCGGCACCCCTCCCTCGAAGACGAGGGGTCCTGGAGTTCAACCCCTTGACTTTTAGTCATAATTCCATCTTCCTCGTTTGAAAACGTTCCAAGAATGGCGGGCATTCAAATGCTTTTCTTCCCTCTTTTTTTTTTTTTTTCGGTACACGGGCCTCTCACTGCTGTGGCCTCTCCCGTTGCGGAGCACAGGCTCAGCGGCCATGGCTCACGGGCCCAGCCGCTCCGCGGCATGTGGGATCTTCCCGGACCGGGGCACGAACCCGCGTCCCCTGCATCGGCGGTCGGACTCTCAGCCACTGCGCCACCAGGGAAGCCCTTCTTCCCTCTTCTTGCCGATCTATTGCTCACCTTCTGCGTTGGGTTTAGAGGCACTGGGGACCACGGAGAGGATTCGGATATGGAATTTTCTGGTCACGTCCCACTGCCCCTCTGTAGGGGCAGAAAAGCTGTGTGGTGGCAGTAGCAAGCTGGGGCTGACGAGAACCCCAGGAGGAAGTGGACTCGAGGCATGAGTAGGAGCCGTGCTGAACCACACAAGGAATCTCCGCTCTGAGGCTTGGGCCAGTAAGAGCCCCTTTCATCTTCTGCGGCCTTTGCCTGGGAGCTCTTACTTTCCAGTCGTGGCTGCTCCGTAGAGAGGTCTGGGTTATAGACACGTAATCTCTCCACTGGGCAGATAACGCAACCGGCATATGGGCCGATGAGATAAGATTCTTGTCTGTGAAGTCCAGATTTCCAAATCTTGGCTGTCAGACCAGGCTGAAGAGGGGTGTCCTAGAATGGTTGGGGAAGGGGGGAATCAAAGGAAAATCTTCGCCTTTCCTCCCAGTGGAAGCCTCAGCCTCCTACCTTGTGGATCACAGAGGGAGTCGTGTTCTGGCAGGAGCTGAGCTGGGGTGAGCGTGGGGTATCCTCGCCCCGCCCACCCCAGGCCACCTGGATCCTGTGGGCTCCACCGCATGCATTAGGTGTGGCTACGGCTGCAGATCAGTAGAGGCAGAAGCATGACAAACAGCAAAGGCGCTTGTGAATGTCCATTGCCCTCTTTGGGGGCCGGGGGCATGGTGGCTATAATTAGCTTCTCTAGCACTCTGTGTGCACAGAGGGGGAAACAAGCCCTTGGAGAGTGTATATTTTCCACTGCTGTACCCCGTGATGTCACCACAGGTGCCTTCTGGCTGGCCCCAAGCTTCTCATTCTCCAGGAACTGCCGTGCCTGTCGGTGGTAGTTTTGTAACTCTGAAAAGTCCCAGGGGGTCTGGTCAACCACCAGCAAATGATTTCCTGTTCCCTTCCCCTGCTACCCCACGATGGCCCAGCCCCCATGACACCGGGCCAGCGCTCGCTCGGTGAGAGTGAATTCAACTCTAAGTGGATTTCTCACCCAAGTTTTAAACAACTCCAGGAAAGCAGACGCACACGTACCTAGTCAGATGTGTAAAATACAAGTCAGGTAGAACTGCTTTTCCTGTTCTAAAATGACCTATCCGACAGCCCTAGCGCCTTGGGTTCCTGGCAGATCCCTGAGACATTAGTACATGGCATCAACGTTTAGAGCTGGGCGGGCTTGTGGAAGGAACGAGCTATGAAGTCTGATGGCCTTGGGTTTGAACCTCAGCTCTGCTGCCTTCAGCCGTATGACCTTGGGCAAGTTATTTAACCTTTGAGTACCAGCTTCCTGGCCTGTAAAATGGGGTAGTGACTTGCCTCATAGGATTGTGTGAGGATTAAGTATGATATATATAAAAGCAAATAACAGAGCATTCCTCAGACACTGAATAATGGTAGTTTTTGGTATTAACAGCACAGATGAAAGAATCTTTGTGATTGGAGCTGATAAAGAGGGGCAGAGATTAAAAGCTAACTCATGGAGTGTGTGTCTTTTGTGGAGAGAAGGATAATGTTCTGTGTTAGAATTTGAGTCAATTTGGAGTAGAAAGAGGATAGTTCAACTGCATCTTGCTCCTCCAATATGATACAAAATCCTCTGACGGACTAGCACGATTGCAGTTAAAAATACTACTTCCTGAGCATTTACCATGTACCATTGTTCTAAGAATCTCATAAGTAATGATTGTCTTAATCCTCATTAGAACCCAAGGTGGTGGGTATTATAATTGTCCATTTTACAGATGGATTAGCCGATGCACTGAGGTTAAAAGTAACTGCCCAAGACCATACAACTAAGAATTGGAAGAGCCAGAGAGTCAATTCCCTCTCTGAGCTTCCTTTTTCTCCTGGGGAGGGGGCAGTTTAGAGATTCATAACGTCCAAAATTCTCTGTCTCTCCTAAATTTACCTGGGGAACTTTCTGGAGTATGTGGAAATTTGAGAGTTACTTAGTGATGTTTAGTGATGGAAAAAGAAACCATTTAGGAAGCTTTCAATGACCTGAAACTCTTTAAAAGTATTACATATTCACTTGCCTCCTTTTTCACTTCTCTTTTCTTGTCTTTGCTCTTCCTCTTCCTTAAAATGAGTCTCTGTGGTATATATACTTCATTAGCTCATGAGAACCAAGCTCCTATCCTATAAGTCAAGGAGTATATTTGAGATTGTTAAGAAAGCCAATACTATGAGTTCTCATCACAAGGTATATAAGTATATAAATTATATCTATTTTTTCCTATTTCTTTAATATTGTGTCTCTATGAGGTGATGGATGTTCACTAAACCTATTGTGGTCATCATTTCATGATGTACGTAAGTCAAATCATTATGCTGCATACCTTAAACTTATACAGTGCTGCTTATTTTATATCTCAATAAAACTGAAAGAAAAAAAAAAAGCCTCTGATCAGAGGTTGTAACAGTCCAGCTTAGCATCTTGAGAGATCATTGCAGCTGTTTCTCTTCTTGCAAAGCCTAAAGCATTAAAAAACAGATTCTTTAAGAATAAAACTTCTCGAAGAGTCATCTGCACTGGCTGTTTCTACTTCCTTTCCTCCTCTTCTCTCATAAACTGATTTCACCCAGGCTTTTGGTCCCACCTCCTGCCCAAACTGCTCTTGTCGAGGTCAGCAGTGGCCTCAGCATCACCACATTTGGTCAATTCTCCATCCTCCTTGTGTCCATCCATCAGTGGCATTTGATCCAGGTGACCCCTTCTTCCTTCCTTGATAACACCTGGCTGCCAGGAGTCTCTTCTCTTGGTCCTCCTACCTCAATAGCTGCTTCTGCTCTGACTCATAATCCCCTCACCTCTAAATGTTGAAGCCCCCCAGACTGAAACACCGACCACTTTACTTCTCTGTCTCATCAGACTCCTGGCTTTAAATTCCATCCATATGCTGACAACCTGTATACTTATATTCCCAGCCCAGCCTCCCCTCCTGTTTTCCAACTCCATATTCACCATCTCCTTAGGATGTCAGATGGGCATCTCAACCATGCCTCCTCCTACAGAGTTTTCCCCTCTTCAGGTATGGTAACTTCATTCTTCCAGACGGTCAAGCCCAGCACCTTGGAGTCATCCTCAATGCCTCACTTTTTCTCACGTTCAACTGATCAGCAAATCTGTCGGTGTCACTGCTTCATACTCACCAGATCGCTTTCATCTCTCATCTGTATTATTGCAATTGCCTCCAAACGGATCTCTCTGTTTTCACATTTGCTCTCCTACAGTTTCTGCTCATCAGCATATCCAGAGATCCTTTTACAATGTAGGATGGATTATATCACTCAAAACACCCTAGTGTTTTCCCCATCACAGTCAAAGTAAAATCTAAAGCCTTCAAGTCCCTATCTGGTGTGTTTCCTTGTCACCTCTCTGAGTTTTATCTCCTTTCACCCTCCTTGCTCTTTGAACCGAAGCCACTGATTGATCTACTTACTGTTCCTTGAACACACCAACGGTGCTCCTGCCTCAGGCCTTTTGTATTTGCTGGTCCCTCTGCCAGGAATGCTCTTCACATAGACGTCCACATGGTTGCCTCCCTCACTGGTTCATTTATGATCTTATTGGACCACCCTGTATAAAATAGAAATCCCTTCCCATCCTTCCTTGCTTTATTCTTTTCCAAAACACTTACCATAAGATGCATGTATTTATTTATTCGTTATAATATCTGTCCTCTCCCTGAGACTATAAACTGCATGAGGGTGAAGATTTTTGTATGTTTCACTCACTGCTGTATCCCCAGGGCCAGAACAATGAATGGCTGGCACGTGGTAGATGTCCCATTAATATTTACTAAGAGAGTAAATGACTCTAGGTCAGTTTCTACAACAGATTCCGAATGACCAGCCCAGCTCTCTGTGGAATTCTGCTCACTCAGAGTGCGTAAGTCTTCCAGACTATTGAGGGTAGGAGTCGGGGCATGGTGGTTGGGAGGGCCACTAGACCTTTTCTGCTATAAATTCTTTTTCCATCTGATGGTATTTACCATCCCAGGATTTCAGCTCTGGCTCCAGACTTGCCTGAGGATGTTTGTCAGGAAGAACTGGACTAAGAATTCAGTGATTCTCAAGATGGTTTCCCTGAAAAGGTCCTTGTGGAACACCACCCGTTTAAAAGTCCTGAATCCAGACTGCCTGTTACATTCTCGGAGGCGTTATTTAAAGTATTCCCGGTGGTGCGGGGGCAGGAGGTGTGAGCTACTTTTGTTACTTAGTGGTTTCAGAAGCCTTCCAGGATCTCTTTCCTTATGACCCCGAAGAATTTGCTCGCTCTTAACCTTTCTCTACCGTCACCTAACATAACCTCTTAGACTTCCTAGCTCATCCGCAGATCTGTTCGTGCATTTCATCTGCACCTCCAGCTCTTAGTGGGTGAAATTGAGAAACACGCCACTCCCTTCTTTTGGGATGTCTCTTGGGAGAGTGAGACTTCTTTTCCTTGGAGAGGCAGAGAATGATATTCATAGAAGATACTTTTTATTGAATGAACCAATTGCACAGACTTTTAATTCCTTGGAGAATGTTCCATATTCGTGGTACAGCGCATTAGTCCTAATACTTTTAAAGAATGAAAACATTGCGTTGTATTTGCGTGGTTTTCCATCATGCTCTGCAGCCCTTCACATCTGTTATTTCATTTGACGGTCATGAAGCTTCCTGTAATAGACAAGTTGTATCCAATTTTACAGATGAAAACAGGAGCATTGTTGGGTCCTAGTGACTCACTTAGGACCGCCGTTGATCGACGGACGGCCCAGTCCATCTCAGGTCTTTGGTGCTCCCACTCCCTGGCCTTCAGTGCTTGGCCTCCCCCCAATATTGATAGGTGTCCCTCTGGTTCTCCCCTGCACTCCTGGAGCTCAAGTCCCTGTCTCAAACACTTGATGATTGCCTTTTCCTGTGGGACTCCATTTCTAGCTTACAGCATCCTACTGTTGGTTCTGCCAGGTTCTGAGGGGGCGGGCTGGGGAATGTCTGTGTCTGGGGACTGTTCTTTCCCTAGAAGGATGCTCAGTGGAAGAAGGAACCGTCATGAATGAACCGTAGGATCCATGGCTGGCTGCCCTTCCCATGTTCATGGGTCCCCAAGCTCCAACCTGGTCTAGAGTTGGGCTTCCTCTCTGGACATCCACTGGGAAGTCACATCCTTTAGAAATCTTCCACTTGTAAGTCAGGCAGCCCTAGGGGGTAACCTTGAAGCATAATACTCAGACTGGTATTTCTTTGACCACAGAATTATAGCAATGACCACCTTTGTATAGTGCTTTAAGGGTTACGACCATGCTTCAGAAGCACCCAGAGAGTCTTTTAAAATACAGGTTCCTGGACTCCTCCCCTGGACATTCTAATTCAGTAGGTTTAAGAAGGATCCAGAAATCTGTAATTAAAAAAAAAAGGAATTCCTTGGCAATTAACCTGGCTCTGAAATCACTGTTTAGATTACAAAGCCCTTTTGTTTATAATACTTCATTTGTTCCTTACAGCACACGAGGAAGCTGTTAACCTCTTTTGCAGATGGGGCTCAAATATGGTAAATGACTTATTCCAAATTCCTAAGTTAGGGAATGGCAGAGCCAAGCCTCCAGCCTCAGGTCTTTGTCTCCAAACCTGGTTCTCTTTCCACTCCGTTCTCCCTTAAGAGACTCCTTCCTTCTCTCGGTTGCCCTGGGGTATTGGTTTTCCCTCATACCCTGATTGCGAGCCAACAGTCTCACTCACCAGGTCCAACTGTTCTCTCCTGAGAGCAGCTCTGAGCAGGTTTGGGGAAGACAGTAGGAATCCAGGCCCTGGGGGAAGCTTTTCCGGCCATCCTTCCATGTCAGGTATCCGGGAATATCAGGCAACAGTGGTGGCCAGGCCCAGCCCCATCCTGGAGGACGTGTAGCCACCACGAGTTGAGTGTTGCAGGGGCCCCAGACCAGCTTTCATGACCAAATAGAACTTTCAGCCCAGTTCCAAGAAAGAATTCTGGAGAGCACAGGCTGAAACCACTGACCGCTGGCATGGAGAGTTGGTGGTAAAGTAAATCTTTCCTCTTTCCATGTGCGTTGTGTTTGGAGCTAGCTCATGATGGAGAAACCTCAGAATCTCAGGTTTCATTGTAATGGGAAGAATGCAGGGTGGTGCTGGGGGTGAATATGGGAAACTTTGAATAGATCTTCTGGTGTCTGTGGATGGGGAGATGCCAACGTGTAAGGGTCACGGGAGGGCAGGGCTCCTTTGTTCCAGCCGCCCCATACCATCGGGCACACCGTCCTGCGGCTGAAAGTCTTGCGTTGACTTTGGAGGGTGCCCTCCTCGGCCCCGACTCCCATTGTGCCTGCTGTCCTTGGGATTTCAGAGGTTAGAACCTGGAGGAACTTTGCTTTAGGAATGGGCACTTGATTTCTAGTTCTTGCATTTATTCATGTAGTATAGGCATCATTATATCATGGTTAAAAACATGGGCCCAATCTGGCTATGCCACATACTAGCCTTGTAATTACGTTGCGGTGCCTGTTTTCTCATCCATAAGATGGTGACACTAGTACCCGCTTCCTAGGGTTGTGGTGAGGATTAGACAACATGTGGCAGGTACACAGGAGGTGCCACCTACTGCTTGCCAAACATCCAGCTCCGTGCCCCACCCCCCCACCCCCGTGGCATATAGGAGAACAGCCATGGACCCCGCCTTGCAGGAGTTCACAGTTTACCGGGAGACAGACAGAGCAGCAGATCACCGCGACATCGAATGGGAAGTCCTGTAATAGAGGAACGTTCAGAGTGTCACGGGGGCACAGACAAGGGGCCGGCCGTGAGGGGCTGGGGCTGGGCCTGAACTGGAGGCGGCTTCCTAGCGGAGATGGTACATTTGATCTTAAACGGTCAGTAGAAGTCCGCCTGATGGAGAAAGAGGGACCAGCATTCCAGACAGAGGCAGCAGCATGAGTAGGGCCACAGAGGCACGTAAACTCTAGCATGTGCAGGAAATTATGTCAGGTGGAGAACGTGATGCATCCAAAGGAGGTGGGAGGTGAGGCAGAGGGTCAGTGAGCGCAGGGACCACAAATGCCGAGGGATTTGGACTTCACCCGAAGGAAGTGCACTTGAGGGTCACTGGGGCCGTTGGAGAAATGTGCTCAAGTTTGTATTTTCATGAAATCAGTCGGATTGTTGGGAGAAGTGGAGAACAATAAAAAAGGAAACAAACTAACCGGCTGACTTGAGTCTCTCACCCTCCTTAAAGGTGAGTGTAGGTCATCTCCCCCCATTCAGAGAACACCCGACTCCAACTGTGGCCAACAGACAGGGCATGGAGAACTTGGTGCCGATCCTGCCTGTGACTTTCAAGGTGACCTTGAGAAGGGCCCTTCAAGTGTCTGGGCTCCCAGTTGCTCTGTAGTTCAATGGGGATTGCATACGCAGTCTCCCTACCTCATAGGAGCAGGGTGTAGCCCCCTCAGAAGGAAAACTGGGGGTCTATTCCCGCAAAATGTAGCCCCCTCAGAAGGAAAACTGGGGGTCCAGCGCTTGTTCTATCTTTCTATAGAGTGTATTTGCACTTAATTTTATTATTTAATAGGGAGCATTCTCATGATGCAAAAAGCAACGTGATAGAAAAAGTTACCCATTGCAAGCCTTGCTCCTACCCACCCACCCTCTTGTGCCCCCATTCCCTCCACAAGAAGCCACCCTTACTAGTTCCTTGGGTGTCCTTCTAGCATTTACGCATAATTATGCATAATTATGCACAATTATGCATAAACTTATGCAAATTATAGTGAATACAAATTGAGATGCTTACTGTACCCCGTGTCTTATATAAGTCCAGACACTTCTAGAACATGCATCGTTTTCTTCTTCAGGCCGTATATCAACAAGCTCTTTGAAAAATAAAAGTTGTGCTTGTCAAGGGCTTTCTGAGTAGTCCAGTTATTTCTTACAAAATGGAATAAAGGAGAGCTTTGCTGTGACATTGTCTCCCTGCTCTGTAAAATAGGGACAACCTTCTGTCTACCCTGACTCCCATGGGGGAAAGTTATAAGTCATTTCACACTCATAAATTACTTCGAGACTTCTGGTGGAAGGGAGTCTCACAGTGGGACTGTCTGATGATTCCTCAGTGAAATATTCCTGCTTTGTTCACTGGTTCCAGGATTTTTTCCTTTTTTTTTAATTTAGACTGCTAATTGTTGAGGTTTTTTCCTCCCCTCCAGCTTTTCCTCTTAAAACCACTGAGTCTTAATGGGCAGCCCGTGTCTCCGCCAGGGCCATGTGGGTCTGATTTTAAGCCGCATCCTGCCAGAGACTCCTGCCTGCACGCATGTGGCTCCTGCCGCTTCTCCCAGCGTCTGGTGCAAAGTCCTTTCTTTTTTTCTACCACATGTGCTGAGCCGCACAGAAGCTTCAAGACTTCACAGCACAGCACAGCAGTAAGCCAGTGCTGGCTGTAATTAGCTAGAATTGCACATTCCTCCTGGTCAGAAAGACATCGTATCTTCGCCTTTTCGTTCACTGTGGAGAATTTCCTGCGTTCTCTAGGTTCTCTGGAGAGGCCTCAGAGGAAGGAAGTTGTCTGTGAAAGGGGGGAGGGGCTCACTCTCTAAGGTCTCTGCAGTTCTCAGGGTACACTTTAATGACACCTTCCGGGGCTGCCTGTCCCAACATCAGGAGGTAACCATGACGCACCGTAGGTTTAGCGGATGCCGGGAGTGGAGACCTCCGAGATACGCACCAGGAGAACACGGACAGTGATGCTATTGTCCGGAAACCACAGAACCTGGTGAATGTTTTGAAAGGGATTTGGTTTTGTTTTACTGGCAAGCTTCTGGAAGTCTTTTCTTGAGGCAGAGAGCTTATGTTAGGTCTTAGGTAGAGCATAAGGCCGTTGTCTCTCAGATGTGGACTTGGTCATGGGGAGCTTAATTCTGGGCCGTGGTTCAAAGCCTTGCTGGTGCCAGCTTTGAGAATTTGAGAAATTCAGGTCCCGCCCAAGGAACCAGAGGGATTTTGAACAGTCCCTTCACCCTCCCTGCCCAGCCAGGCAGGGCAGCAGCCAGGGGCATATTCTCTATCCTGAGGGCTAACGGCCCTCACCTATAGGAAATTCACACATTAGGGACCATCTTCCGCTCGGTCCTCACCTATAGGAACTTCACAGGTTAGGGACCGTCTTCCACTCTGTAGTCTTAGCCCATGTTGAAGATGAGCTGTGCCGTTGTCCCGGGTGGATGTGTACAATCCTTAGGAGGATTCGAGAATCACTGAGCTCCCTTATGGAAGGTTTCGCCGTCTATCTGCATTGTTCCCGTGGTCCTCCCTTCAGGAAGATGGACGTTTGAAAGGGCTCATGGGTGCTGCTGGGGAGATGTTCCCCATTGTAAATTGGCACAGACAGCTTTCTGCACTTTCTTCTCGCCAGGACCACTCTCTATGGTATTTCTGTTGGAGCAGGTGGGGTTCAACTTGAGCAGGAAACCCCATGGATTGGGGCCACCAGCCCAGTGTCTAGGTCATAGGTCTGAGCTGATAAGACCCACAAGCACTTCTGTTATAATTAGAGAACTTTCCTCCTCCATTGAACAGCTCCCTATTTAAACATTAGCCTCTCCAGGGAGACACTGGTGACCCCTAGCCCAGCACAGTGTCTGGCTTACTGTGAACACTCAGTCATCGGTTGTTGGGTTGGGTACTTCATTCAACAACATTGCTTGAGCACCTACTACGTGCTTGGTGTTGTGCTAGAATCTGGCAGTGCCAAAGTAAGGTAGAGGCCCCGCCCATAAAGAGTTTATAATCTAGAAGGAGAGGCACCGGGGTACTCCCAACATCTGGCACATTGCCAGACACATGGGGGTCACCTGATGGCTTTTGAGCTTGAAGTTACAGAATGACGGAACTGGAGGGTCTTCGGGATCGCAGCGTCCCTCCCTCTCACTTCAGAAATGAAGACACTGATTGGCGAGGGACTTGCATTCAAGGCCACCCAGACAGAGGCAGAGAGAGAACTCGGTCCATGGTCCTCGCTTTTGGCTCTTTGTAGCACCCCTCTCAGCTTGCTTTTGGCGCTTAACGAGAAAGGTCCAATTCTGAAAAGTAAAGGCAGTACCAAAAAGCGTAGGAACCCGCTTGCACTGCACGCCCGCCGCTTCTCGGTGACCTGAATCCTGTAAGTACTTGGAAACTCCGGACACTGGTTCTCAGACGTGGGCTGCAGAGTGAGTTACTCAGAGGCAGCAGGGGCCCAGCTGCCTGCAGTTCCCACTGAGATGTCACTCTTGGGAGGCCAGAGCTCCCAAGCTGGAGAGTCATCAGTTTGACCTTGTGGCTCTTTGAGCTGGGGTGCCGAATGGTGTTCAGGATAAGATGTGTGAGAGGTTCTGGCTCGTAAACCACATAGAAGGGCTTTCCATCCTGCTAAAATAAGGCCGGGACCTTGTTTGACCCTGATTCAAACAAAGTAACTGTAAAAAGATGTTGAGATAATCAGGGAGAAAAGAATGTGGATTTGATATTTGATGATACTAAGAAATGTTCACAAATGGTAGAGATGATCATGGCACAGTGACTGTGTTACAGGAAAAACAGTCATCACTTAGAGAGGCATAGTAGGTTGTTTTGGAATACTCTAGGGAAAAAAGTAAGTCTTCATAAGAGTTTTGGGGTAAGGTGATATGTATGAGATTTGCTTTAAAATATTCCAGGGGAGGGGCTTCCCTGGTGGCGCAGTGGTTGAGAGTCCGCCTGCCGATGCAGGGGACACGGGTTTGTGCCCCGGTCCGGGAAGATCCCACATGCCGTGGAGCGGCTGGGCCCGTGAGCCATGGCCGCTGAGCCTGCGCGTCCGGAGCCTGTGCTCCTCAACGGGAGAGTCCACAACAGTGAGAGGCCTGTGTACCAAAAAAAAAAAAAAAAAAATTACAGGGGAAAAAATAAGTTGGGGAATAGATGAAAAATTTGGCCAAACATTGGTCATTGTAATTACTGAAGCTGGGTGATAAATGCAAGGCAGTTTGTCATACTAGTCTCTCTACTTCTGTATGTGTTTGGAAAAGTCCAGAATAAAAAGTTAGAGAAATAGGGCCCAGATCTCTCTCCTTGCCCTCCATGCCCACCACTGAAGCCCTTCCAGTCAGGGTGGAGGCTGGCACTGCGATGACAGACCACACGAGGAGGCTGCTGCAGGGGCCCTGTAGTAGTTGGCCGGGCCCCTGGCTAATTTAGAGGTGCCCTGAAGGGCTGGACCCTCCTTTGAAGCCCCTTGTACCATGTCAGCCAACAGCCCCATCTCATCCCTGTTGTGTCTCCTCCTCGGCCCGGGGAGCTCAGTGCCATCCTCGGTGTTTACCATTCCCTGCCAAGTGCATCTGCCCATCAGGCCAGCCCCGTCAGACTCACCCAGAGAGGCCCACCTAAGGCAGACTCTGCCGAGCAGGTGACACAACGCATCGCCAACACTGCACATCGGGGCGTGACAGGGTTTCTCTCTCAACACCCTGCGATGCAGCTATCTGAATCCTTATTCACCCTCAGTCCATGTCTGTCCATTTCCGCTCCCTCCCTGATAGAGGGACCATCATTATATCTCCCTGCTGGTGGTCTGCAGAAGGATCTGCAGTCACCCACAGCCTTTACAATGTAGAGATTTCACTAGTATTCGTTGGTTTCACTTTTTTCTCTCTTGTCTTATTCATACATGAACTTTTTGTACCCAATCTTGATCTTAGACCAGAGGGTTCCCTTCTGGTCTTCTACGGCTGTGCCCTTTAGGACAGAGTGCAGATTCCCTAGGTCCACAGGGACGCGCTTACCTGGAGCCTGTGTCCCTCCCCCTGCCCCCCACAAACACACATCACACACTCTGGGTGTTAAGGACCCAGAGGACTAGCAGGCTGCTTCCTGAGTTTCTTCCCTGTGTCCAGCCTCTCGAGGACAGACACCCCTAGCCCTGAGCATGACCAAGGAGCAGCTGTTTGTGGTGTGAACAGTTTTGACATGCTCCTGAGGTGTCCATACACA